GATTAGGGGCTGGGGATTTAGCTCAGCGGCAAAAGCGCCTGCCTGGCAAGCGCAAGGTCGTGAGTTCAGTTCCCGGTACCGGAGAAAAACAAAAACAAACAAACAAAAAAATTAGCTGATTAACAAATCTAATGCCTCTGAAACCACTCTCCTTCATCACACAACGTACTTTATTTTATTTTATTTTGGTTTTTCTTGGTTTTTCTCCGGTACCGGGAACCGAACTCACGACCTTGCGCTTGCCAGGCAGGCGCTTTGCCGCTGAGCTAAATCCCCAGCCCCACAAAGCTTTTAGTTTAGATGTTTGGCTTTAATACTTTTTTCTTTTGTTGTTCATACTTTTGGTGTCAAATCTGAGAATCCATTGCTAAATTGTAGGTCATAAATATTTACCCATGTTTTATTCTAAGAGTTGTATAGGTCTGGCTCCTTGTGTCTGTGCTGTGAGATAAGGATCCTGCTTCACTCACCCAGCACCATTTAAAGAGACTTCTCTCTCTTGTGTGGCCTTGGCACCCCTGCCAACGTGTTGGTTTATACAGGGGTTTTATGCACGGCTGTGTAAAAGTGTCCCGAGGAAGCAGGTAACCTAGGAAGACTTAAACATGTACCAAAATAAATACCTTCGGTGGGCCAGTATTTCCTGTTGTGAGCTGTATGCTTTATACATTGTTTCAGCATCTCTGCTTTCCTGAAACTCCCATCATTCTTTTTTTTTTTGGTTCCGGAAATCCAGCTCAGGACCTTGCGCTTGCCAGGCAGGTGCTGAGCTATATCCCCTGCCCTCCTCTTGTAAGTCAGCTTGTGTCTGACAAAATTTTGCTGCACCAGCCACATGCCAGGAGCTTACTGCTAAGGAGTGTGTCCTGCCAAAGGGCAACTGTTCAAGTACTTTTTAATAGCTCTGAGGAGGACTGCAAGGTAGCTTGTTAGGATTTTGTCAGTTTTTTGAGGGTGGCAAAGGGTAGCTGTGGGATTTTGGTATTGCTGTTTTGAGTTTTGTTACGTCTGCTTTAGAATTTAATGATGCACCAGTGATTAATCTAAGACATAGTGACTCAAGACCTGAAGTAAGATTGGCCTTCCATCTCTGTGGCTTCAGACACGTAACTGCAGGTGGGAATGGCTTGTGAGAAGAACTGTACCGAGTATGTGCAGACACAGTTTGTTGTCATTTCCTAAGCAGTACAGCATAGCGTTTGTTCACATAGCGTTTATATGGTGCTTACCCATAATCTAGAGATGATTATTGTACAGGAGTATGTATATAGGTTGTATGTGGATACAAAAAACATCTGCAGATTTCAGTATCCGAGAGGGTTGTTTGTCCTCACAGACACTGAGGGACAACTCTTACCATAAAACTGATTTTTAGGTGTTTACCAGGAGGTGTCCTTAAATTACATGCACTAATTTAGTAATCACATGGACCTGTGAGTTATAGTACTGTTACTATCAGAAAGGAGACTGAGGCTTAGGGAGGTGGAGCAACTTAGGAAAGTATGTGACTAGCAAGTGGCAGAGCTGGTGTTCCAGTTACACTGTTTCTGTTTTTGTTTTTTTTTAACCTGGGGATTAAGCCCAGGGACTTGGCACTAAACTACATCCCCAACCCCCTCCCTCCTGCTTCCCTTCCTGTCTTCCTTCCCTCCTTCCTTTTTTAAATTTTGAGACAGAGTCCCACTAAGTTACAAAGTTGCTGGGCTCAGACTTGAGAGTCTCTTGCCTCAGCCTCCCAGAGTGTGTGCTGGGATTACAGGTGTGTGCTCTGTTCTGCTTCGTTGTTTCCTGTATGTCTGATGATGCTTGGTGAATTTAAGCACCCTTCCTCTCCTTTTTTAAATTAGGGGAGTACCTTTCTTCCAGGTGCTCAGAGGACTTTAGGTTAAAGTAATTCAGAGCCAAGGTAGCGGTCCTGTTATATAGAGGTTGCAGTGGAGAAAGTGTGCAAGGCCTGAGCACCTGTGGGTGGCAGGCAGCTCTGGGCCAAGAAGTCGGGGCTGTAAGGGTAGAAACAATGTTGCCTCCACCCTTAGACTATGAGGAGCTAATAGTCCCTAAAAACAAAAGTAGCAGCTAGTATCTGTTGGTTTTCCTGATAGTGTCAGGAATTCCAGGTGTAGTAAAGCATTGTTACCCTGGAATCCTTGCGAACCGGAAATATTCAGTGGAATTTCATTCATGTTTTAAATATCATACTCCGTCAGAAACCTTGACTAGTGTGTTGAGCCGAGTCCTGGGGTATTACTGCCTTCTTTGTGTTGAGTTAAACTTTCTGTCTCTCCTCTCGTTGCAGCCATTGACCTTACATATGGAGGTATATACTGCTTTCTGTGCCAGGACTACATCTATGACAAGGACATGGAGATAATTGCCAAAGAGGAACAGCAGAAAGCTTCTAAGATGCAAGGTTGGCCTCTGCCTAATTCACCTCCCTGGTTTATCCCTTAATCCTGCAGTTCGCTCCCGTCTGTTGAGGGCAGAACTTGGTCAGAAACAGGGAGTACCAGAAACTCAAGGCAGCAGGTGTGTTTGCGTGGGTCAGGTTACAGTTGGTGGAAAGCTGCAGAGGTGGGTGGAGTGAGTGGCAGAGGTGGTGGGGTGGCGGGCCACCCGCGTGCCCAGAGCACTGCCATGAGAGGTGCTGCTGAAGTCAGGAAAATGCACCCCAGAAACATGCTGTTCCGTAGTTGAGGGCCTTTGCAGACTGGAGCTGAACCCAGTCCAGCTGCAGCAGGGGCACATTTCTGTCTCCTGGGGATGGACGCTTGAACCTCCCAAATCCCTGAGCACCACAGTGTTTCAGAAAGCGTCCTCTGCAGATAAATGTATCTTGTTCCTTCCAGGAGGATAGACTTGTTTCTCTGATTGAGTCGTAGAATTCTGTAAAGATCTGACCCTTTTGGCTGATGCCAGGTCTGTCTGCAGAGTGACCTTGCCAGATGGGAGGTGGAGCCCCCACCTGAGCCTGCTCCCCTGCCGCTGCACTGTGGCCTGTGGCCGGGGCCCCTCTGGACTGCCCCCTTGCTCTCTCCCTGTCCTCGTGTGCACTCTGCTAGCTGCGCAGTCAGAAGTGCGCCAGCACTGTGCAGCCACGCTCTTGTACTTCTTGGTTTCACTGATTTTTTTTTTCTTGATTTTCAGTTCCTACAGAGGTTTGCAATAAAGGGTGCTGGCTGTGGTCAGCCCTCGTTAGTGGGTGAGCACCGTCTCTCAAGCAGTAGGACCCATCACTGTGTGCAGAGGGAGCCCATAAACCGGGTCCCTGCTGTACATATTCTTGCCTTGTTTTGTTTTTTTTTGTTGTTTTTTTCTTCGGTACCGGGAATCGAACTCATGACCTTGCACTTGCCAGGCAGACGCTGTGCCACTGAGCTAAGTTCCCAGCCCCTTCTTGCCTTGTTTTGCATTGAAAATACCCCATTCTTTGAGAACAGAAGATTAGAAACAGGTGCTCTCAGTGATCAGAATTATTTTGTATTTAGCAGATCATTTCTGGAAAAAAATCTCCAACTTGTATTTTCTATTGTGTTCCCCCTCCAAGATGTAATGTAACTACATATGAGTATATTTCTTTGAGCCGGGCACTTAAAATATGGAACTAAGAAACACACATCCCAGACTAAAATTGTTTGTTTTTTGTTTTGAGACAAGATCTTCCTGTGTAATTGAGGCTGGTTTGAGCTCCGCTATGTAGCCCAGGCTGGCCTCAAACTCAGTGTTCCTCCTGGTCCAGCCTCCCAGGTGCTGGGATCACAGGTGGGCACCACCACGCCTGGCTGAACAAAGTTCTTCAAAGGTCATTTTGCAGTTCCATTTCTCCATAAGGTGCTATCTCTTTTCAAGTTCATTGAATTCTGCAAACACTTTTAGGGAGTGTGGTCCAAGAACCTCAGTGGATGGGGTGCATTAGGTAAAGTGTTACTCTTGTTAGCATCTGACCATTCCTGTCTTCCGTTTCAGTTCTTTATGGCAAACAGCTTTTCAGCAACTGAATCTGTTTAGTTTGCTCAAGAGTATGCTTTCACAGGCTTCACTCATTAGCTGGGATCTGAGTTGCTGCCGGGTAGCCACAGTCTCTGTACTGCAGTCAGGGCTTGAGGGCTTTACACTAAACAAAAAACTTTCTTGCATTAGCGTTGGGATGGCTTTAATGGATAATGGTTTCCTTGTGACAGGAAACACGGTGTATTGATAAGACACTTGCTAAGAGAAGCCCTGATGTTATGGATGCCCCTTTTTAAAATACATCCTGGAACGTCAGATACAATTTTTGTTTTAGAACACAGTTTAGAGAAAATTTAGCTAATAGCACTTGGAACTGTCCTCCATCTGCTTAGGTATTGGAGAGAAGTTTTCAACTTGGGAACCTACCAAACGAGAGCTGGAGCTGCTCAAACACAACCCCAAAAGGAGGAAGATCACTTCCAACTGCACCATAGGTGAGTGGAGGACGTCACGGAGAGCTGTGCTCTTTCTCACACTCACTGGACGGCTTTCTCAGGGCTTCACAGTGCAACACAAGCTTTTTAAGCCCTGCCGTTATCAGTTTGCTCAGCATCCAGGTCTGAGCACCTGTTCCCTCCAGGGACTGCTGTGGGCTTGGGGTGCAGTGGGGTGAGCAGAGACCACCTGTCCCCCTGGTGCTGAGAGTCTGTGAATGTCACAGGGCTCATGTATATTCTTACTCTGGCCAGGTTGATCTCGGGGAGAGAGATGATGCGTCTGTGTGGAAGGTATTTGCACAGTGTTCTAAGGAATGAGGAAATCCATTTTAGAAGATTTAAAAAGCATTTTGGCTCAGTTCTGACTTTTATAAAAAGTACATACAATGGCCAAATGGGAAGGGAATGATGGTGGTGAACACTTCTCATTACAGTTCATGTAAAAATGGTATAAAAATTAGAAAATACTCTGGGAGGCTGAGACAGTAAGTTCAACTCTAGTCTGGCTAACTTAGCAGGCTCTGTCTCTAAAGCAGAAGGGCTGGGGATGTAGCTTAATGTGGAGGCCCTGGGTTCAATCCCTGATACCCGGGGAGAAAAGTGAGAAAATACTGCATTTCTACTTGCTCTTCCTTTTTTCTTGAATGATGAATAAAAGAAAGTGACTTATCGCACAGACTGAAAAACCCTTGGGATCCAGCATTATGTGTCACAGCTCAGTGCACAAGTGACACCTGCTCTCTGGCCTCCTGCCCAGGTCTGCGAGGGCTGATCAACCTGGGGAACACGTGCTTCATGAACTGCATTGTCCAGGCTCTGACCCACACGCCGCTCCTCCGCGACTTCTTCCTGTCTGACCGGCACCACTGCGAGATGCAGAGCCCCAGCTCCTGCCTGGTGTGTGAGATGTCCTCGCTCTTTCAGGAGGTAAGCGCGCTGGCCTCTGCCGTGGAGTGCTTCAGAGACGGTCTTTCCACCTTTTAAAAAACACGCAGTTGACTATAATGAGGGCCGGCAGTTTCCAGAATCTATACAGCAAATAAGTATTTAAAACTTACAGTTACTATGGAAGACACAGTTTTTCCAAAGGGGAGTGCTGGAAGGGGCTTCGGGCCTGACTTTGGGAGGCACACTGCCAACCCAGGAAGAGAAGGAGCTCGGAGAGGCTTGGCACAGTCACCTTGCGGGAGACACTAGTTTCCATGAACGTTGGTGACTCACACTTCTGCTGTCTGCCACCCTAGAGCTCAGGGAGGCTGGCAGACAGACCTGTTTCTTGCCACATTTTCGAGGAAAGTGGGTCTCTCCCTCCGTGGTCGAGGCTTTCCAAGTGTGCTGTGTCAGAGGTTTGTGTTGCTGAGTAGCACCTGTCACGTTGTGGTTGGCCATCATTAGCTCGGTGGTTTTGAGTTTTTGGTGTTGAAGGATAAAGCTGCAGTACTTGCTTGTGTGCAGATTTGTTATGTGGAAATGAGGGGTTTTGCTTATCATGTGACTCCATTTGTTTAGGTCTTTAATTTCCCTCATCAGTGTTTTCAGTGTGTGGTGCTTACACACGTTCTGTTTATCTGTTAGGTATCTCATGTTTTTGATGTTGCTATAAGTGGCATGGTTTTTAGTTTGAGTTTCTAATTGTTTATTGCTAGCACATGTTGAGTGCCCCTAACCTGAGAATCAAAAATGCTGTAAAACCCAAACTTTTTGAGTATCAGCACAGTGCCACAACTGAGAAATCCCACGCCTGTGATGGTTCACTGCACACAAACTTTACTTAATGCACAGAATCGTTAAAATATTAATGAAACACCAGGCGTGGTGGTGCACGCCTGTAATCCCAGCACTCAGGAGGCTGAGGCAGGAGGATCGTTGTGAGTTCGAGACCAGCCTGGGCTACAAAGTGAGTTCAAGGCCAGCCTGAACTGCATAGCGAGACCCTGTCTCAAAAAGACAAAAAAAAAAAATTAATGAAACTACTTTCCAGCTACTGAGTTTTCGTTCAGACAGCTTCCACCCCTAATTATTAGTTATATATATGCAGAATTTCCAGAATCTGAAATCTTTCTGGTTCCACGAATTTTGGATAAGGAGTACTAGGCCTGCATTGATTATTTTGGACTGTGAGAATGTTCTCATCACACATGCAGGGAAGTGTTTCGCAGTTCGTTTACAGATTTGGCCTTTCTGTTGGCTTTCTCCCACATAACCTGTTTTATAGTAATGAAAACTTGGCATGTTTTCAGGAATTCTGCAAGTGCCTAAAACTCTTTCAGAAGTGAGTCCCTGGATGGCTGGGCACGTCACTGTTGAGGTCAGCATTTACTGATCGCTGCATTCAGTGTGCGTCAGCCTCTCATCCCATCTGTTGATCTGTGCTCCTGGTTCTTTTTACCAGATGACACACGGGCTGCATGTCTCCTACCCAAAATGACTGGGACCGGAGTGTTTCAGATTTCAGTGTTGTGGATTTTTGATAGTTGCATAGACTTTACTGTTGAGTATCACTAATCCAAAAATATGAATACTCCCAATACTCCAAAATGTATTATGACGGGGCGTGGTGGCGCATGCCTGTAATCCCAGCACTTGGGAGGCTGAGACAGGAGGATCATTGCAGGTTCGAGGCCAGCCTGGGCTACAAAGTGAGCTCAAGGCCAGCCTGAACTGCATAGTGAGACCCTGTCTCAAAAAGACCAAAAAAAAAAAAATTGTGTGCTCAAAACATTCCCAGGTTATGAAGCATTTTGGGTTTTGGATTAGGAATGGTCAGTTACAACTTTTCCCCACCTCTCCCCTTTTGTTGTCCTAAAAATCTAAACTCTGGAACTAAATATATAAATAAATTCATCCTGTTGAGGAATTTGCGGTTCTTGCTTCCTTGCTCTCAGCTGCTGCTTTGTAGACAGCTGCCAGTTGCTGTCAGTGAGTCCAAGTGTGTGAACCTTTCTGGAGCCTGAAAGAACAAAGCTAACTTTGTGACTTTTTTTCTAGTGCTGGGGTTTGAACTAGGCACTCTACCACTGAGCTATGCCTCTAGCTTATCAATAATAGCATGTTGCATACCGTGCCATTTTTTATTTATGATTATTCCTAAAATCTTTAATTTAGGATTGAGTCTTTTTCCTAAGAAAGGTGCTTTGCACCTGCGTTCCTGTAAGTTTTCCCTCTTCCTTCTGTCCAGTTTTATTCCGGGCACCGGTCTCCACACATCCCATACAAGCTGCTGCACTTGGTGTGGACCCACGCACGCCATCTGGCAGGCTACGAACAGCAGGACGCACATGAGTTTCTCATCGCCGCGCTGGACGTCCTGCACCGGCATTGCAAAGGTGGGGACGGGGATGCCTTTGACGAGGGAGCAGGGTGGAGGAGTGTGGTTATGTGCTCATGCAGTCGTGTAGGGGACATGTTAGATCTGTGTTTTGTAGGCTACATAATCCTATGTTCCTTCCAGTACGAGAAATGCCAGGCTTGTCCCAAGGAGATTGTTTGTAGTTTGCTTTTAGGAGGAGGAAAGATTCATGTGTTGTCCTCTGACCTGGCTGGGGGTGGAGCAGTGTGGTGCTGGGGTCCTCTGTGGCCTGTCATGGTGAGCAGCCCTGGGCCATCTTTTGAACCCTCTGCTTGCTGTGGCTGCTGTGAGCATCCTCTGGGTTACCAGGCCTAAAGCTTCTGAGTATTGCTAATCATCACCACCATCTTCCCCTGGGAACTCCAGGGGGACCGGTTGCTGCTCTGCGTAGAGCCAAGCTCTGCTACTGCTTCCCTGACCTGGAGGGTACTCCTCTCTCAACAGCTCTACAGCTCGGCCCCGAGGATGGTGTCCCTTGAGGGTTGGGGGTTTGTTAGCTTGGGGTGCAGCAGCTCCTGGGGCTGGAGGTGGGACACTCAGATGAAGTGACTTGAGCCAGTTCGTCCCCTCGCTGTCCTCGTGGAGGAGCCTGTGCACTGCTGACCTGCAGGGGAGATTGAGGGGGCGGTTCCCACCTTGGACCTGGCCGTCAGCTTGAGGGCTGCTTACTCCCCATGTGTGGGTCAGGAGGTCTGGGGGCGCAGGGTTTTCACTCCTAGACTCCAGTCCTCCGTGATACTGAGGCTGTGAGGTTCCACCCCAAGCCTGGGAGCACTGCTGAGGTAACGAGTTATCTGGTCACCTATCTGCTGCCTGTGGGTTGTCTGCAGTTATCTCCAGCTAGTTGTAGGCAGTACCCTTCCATTCCATTTTTTGTTTGGTTTTGTTGTGGGGTTTTTTTGTTTTTTTTTTTTTGAAACAGGGTTTCACTGTGCAGTTCAGGCTGGCCTTGAACTCACTAAATAGCCTAGGCTGGCCTCGAATTTGCAGCAGTCCTATCTCAGTGTCCCACATGCTGGGGATTACACGCATGCACCACCACAATGCTCAGCTTCCAGTTTTCTTTTAAATTGATGTCTTTTAAAGAATAAAGCAGCTGGCTTTCCAGTACCCCTCAGTCTTTCTCAGGACTGTGCTGAGGGTGGCTATGGGGTCTCATGTCCATTTTAAGCAGTACATGCAGATCAGGTGGCTCATTTGGACCAGCTGTCATGCTTTACCTTCTGCTTTATTGGTATTTAAAATTCTTCTAAAATTATACATGAACTTTTTAATGTTTACCCTAGGAACCAAATGAAAGTTAACATAATGGTTTAGATAAGTTTGGGTTTCCTGGTAGGGTAGTATGACACACAAATAGAAAAGAGCCACTGTGAAAGATTATCATCCTAAGCACCTTTGAGAAAGAAGGAATAACAGAAATGTGTTCTAAATGCTTTTTGAAAATGCATTGCTGTTACAATGTTCACAGAGTACCCAAGCTTTTGGCCCATGCTTGTGATCCCAGCATTTGGGAGGCTGAGGCTCAGGAGGGTCACTGAGTTCAAGTCCAGCCTGAACTTCATAGTGAGACTCTGTTTCCAAAAAAAAAATTCATAAAACTAAAAACAAAACCATTGTTGCTTTTTCTGGTAATGCTTATTTTGAAATATCTGAAACATCAGTTCTTCTTAAATAGAGTGATGGGGTGGGAGTATAGCTTTGCCATAGAGCACTTGGTGGCACACATGAGGCTCAGTTCCACTCCTAACGCTGAGAAACAAAACAAAAGGAAAACCCGACAGTTGTCAGAATGGCACACAGGGTTGTGGGCCTCGTACTTGGTTATCTGTAGTTCTTAAGTTGTCGCTTTCAGGGTATCTCCAGCTCATCTTTCTTTGCACCTTCCTGTGGGTACAGTATTGTCCCCTCTCCTAATAACATTTTGTCCTATGAATTGGAGGTTGTTTTGGACAGTATTTTTCCCTAATATTAAACTCTGGGTAGCGCTGTCAGAGGACTCAGTGGCCATTCTTCATGCTTCTGTGATAATTCCACTTTATAGATGGTAACCTGCATGCAGGTGGACGTTTTCAAACATTTCACAGGATACGTATTCCTAATGGGTGTGATATCTCACTGCTTAATGTCTGTATCTGCTCTGCTGTGCCTTCATGTGTAAGTTCAGCGTTCAGTGCACAGAGGGGTAGGAGGAGCTGTGTCTCTCTCCTCAGCCGACAGGGAGGTGCAGCTGCTCTGGATGCAGGGACCCAAGAAGGAGAGCCAGAGTTGCGAGGCTTCCCTGGAGGATACCAGTTTATTGCATCAGCAGGGAGACAGAGGTTGTTTCCTAGCGTATCTGACCATGTTAGGCTAACTTGAAAGCTATTTGTTCACTTATTCCGTATACAAAAAAGGGAGTCCGTAACCTTACGTGCAGAGTTCTTGGGCATCAGATGTACTTTGTTCAGGACATCTTAGAGGACAAAGAAAAGTAACATTGGGAAACCCAGGTTCTCAGCTACCTCATCAATTGAAGTAATGACAGGCTCTTTCCTCTGCCAAGTCTCTGTGGAGGTCACACACGTCTTTATGGACTTCTTAGAATGCCAGCCCGCCTGGCCGCCTCCTGCTTCTGTGGGGTGTGGGGATTTTACATCTGCTGACTTGGTGGTTCACAGATCCAATCACAGATTCCTGCTCTGTCCTCAGGTGATGACAATGGGAAGAAGGCCAACAACCCTAATCACTGCAACTGTATCATCGACCAGATCTTCACCGGGGGGCTGCAGTCCGACGTCACCTGCCAAGTCTGCCAGTGAGTGCGGCCAGACTGTCGGCCTGCAGAGTCAGCCTGCCTGGGCTGCACCAGTGTCGTGGTGCATTTCCCAGTGAACAGACCCGATGTGCTCTGAGTTTTTAAAGTTGACCTTGAAAAGGAAGGGAGGGAGGGAGGGAGGAAAGGGTGGGTGGATGGGTGGATGGACAGATCCTTGAGCCAAGAGCGTACTCAGTGCTGTCTGGGGCTCCTCTGTGGAGATGGGTCACAGGATTATTTGGCTCTTATTTTATTTTATTTTATTTGGTACCTAGAATCGAACTCAGGACCTTGTGCTTGCCAGGCAGGTGCTTGTGCCACTGAGTTACATCCTCGGCCTGTGTTGTTTTATTTAAACAACCACACCATTGTCAGTTCTCAGCACCTGGAGTCAAATAAAATAGCTCTTTCAGGAAGGGCTGGATCACTGATGGCAGATTTTTCACATATGCTTCTGTGTTTGTTAATTTTTATTATTTCATGGTTTTCTTTTCCTTCACTTACATTATAGCGTCTACAGTTCTTTGCAGGAGTAGTCTCTGCTTAGCTCTTCAAGCTTAAGAACCAGGAGAAAGATCTGTTGGTGCATGAGCTCAACCTTTACCTACCCACTTACTGGTATTTTTAGTACAGTTCAGTTTGCTAAAACCCCGATCCACTAATGTTATATTCACTGAAGCTATTCGGTCTATAATGGATTGCCACCTGCTACCCTTGTGAGGTCCTGGGCAAACGTCTGCTACCACTGTCACAGTCTTTTAAAAAAAAAAAAAAAAGATTTTTTGAGACAGAATCTCATTATATGGTTTAGACTGGCCTTGAACTTGCAGCAGTCCTCCTGCTTCAGCCTCCCCCAAGTGCTGGGATTACAGGTGTGTGCCACCATTCTGGCTTTATTTTCTGCTATATAGCAGAGATTATTTTGTCCCTGGACCCTGAGCAGGCTAGCTTCTTGCAGGCTTCTGTGTCTGTGGCAAATTTCTTACTGTTAAATACCTCACTGAGTTCCCTTTTACTGCCATTGTAAATTAAATCTCTAGGCACGAATTGGCTTTATGAAGCGCAGCATTTCGTGTTCTGCGGGCCAACAGAGCCTGGTGGGTACACGGCATGACGCTTGCGTGAGGGTTTATTACCACCCAGGGTGGCAGTGCTGAGTTTCTGGGAAGGACATTTCATTTTCTTTATGGGCCCAGAAAGATCTAGGGATTCAGGACTTTTAGACCTGGGGCTCCAGAAGTTTACACTCTTCAGAAAATCCCTGAATGAAGATGGTCTCCCAGGGTTACAAAGTACTGAGAGCTGCCTTGCCTCACCAGGGTTATGCACGTCCCTCCCTTGGGCCTCCTTGACAGCCCAGGACATACTCATGTGAACGCTTCTGCCTGAGGTGTGCCCGGGACGGAGCTGGCTTGGAGCTGTGGCACACAGCCCTCACATGTTCGCGTCTGCTTTTCTGCAGTGGCGTCTCCACCACCATAGACCCCTTCTGGGACATCAGTCTGGACCTGCCTGGCTCCTCCACTCCATTCTGGCCCTTAAGTCCGGGGAGTGAGGGCAGCGTGGTCAACGGGGAGAGTCATGCATCGGGCACCACGACGCTCACGGACTGCCTGCGGAGGTGAGGCCACCTGCTCAGGGAGAGTTCTATCTTTCCTGTAGGTGGGCTGTGGAAAACTTGTGGCTGGTCAGCATAAAGTCCCACATTGAGGGCCAGACCAGGGCAGTATCCTCTTCCTAGGTTCCAGGGTGGGCACAGAGAAGACGCAGTGTCAGCCTGCATTTGGTTGTCGTGGATGCCCGGTGGCTCATGCTAGTTCGTCCTTTCGGCATGATGACCAGGTGTTCCTGTTCACCAGCTTTGCCTGGGAGCACATCTGTGTCACAGGCCTCCAGTCACCCCCCACCGTTCATGATGAGCCCAGACCATGGAGCAAAACTTGAAGCTGCTTCTCCTTTTGTGGCTGATAGCCTATACCAGAGTGTGAACCAAGAGGTGGTCTGAGTCCCTCTGTGTGTGGCATTTTCTGCAGGTAACTGAAGAACATTTGTGGGTCTCCACTGACAGTATTTAGTTTGTTCTTCTGTGTTGTCATTGATTTAGACAAGTGGTGACGTTTAGGGTACCATCACTTGCACTAATGAGACTCACTGCAGAAGAGCCCCTGCCAAGTGGAAATTTTACTTGAAAGTGGTGCAGATTTTTCCTTGTTTATCTTAATGCAGTTGGCAGACTTGCATGGTAGAATTTTACTTTATTTTATTTATTTATTTATTTTTTGTCTTTTTGAGACAGGGTCTCGCTATGCAGTTCAGGCTGCCCTTGAGCTCACTTTGTAGCCCAGGCTGGTCTCGAACTCACAACGATCCTCCTGCCTCAGCCTCCTGAGTGCCGGGATTACAGGCGTGCACCACCACGCCTGGCCCAAATGGTAGAATTTTAAAATTCATCGTTTTTGTTGGACTACTAGGTCCAGATAATAAGTGGGGCTCTAGATTTTTAGTTTGGAAAACAAGCAAACAACCAAAAACATTTTTCAAGGGAATCTTTACAATGTAATTTAGTCATAAATTTCAGGAAAACTACTTCGGTTACAGAGGGAACAACTACACTTCATAGACTTAACCTGTGTAAGCAGCTGCTGTGGCAGCCCCAGGAGGCTCCAAGGACAGGTGATCGTGACCATCTCCAGCTTAAAAGCAAAGGTTCCTTTTTACGCCCTGCTGGGACTTTACACAAAGCTAATCATCTGGTGGGTTGGCTTTGGTCAGAGCGGCTCTTAGCCTACCCTGCTGAAGATGGCAGCATTTCTGAAGGATAAACTTTGTAACCTAGGTGGTCTCAAACTTGTGACGATCCTCCTGCCTCAGCCTCCCGAGTGATGGGATTACAGGCGTGTGCCACCACGCCCCGCAATGTATTGAGATCATTGTAGGTTCCCACGCAGTTGTGAGATCCACAAATCTCACGTGTATCTTACACCCAATTTCCCAGTGATGCCATCCTGTAGTAGAGCTGCGTGCCACAGCCAGGATGCTGACGCTGATGCGGTCAGCATGCACAGCATAGCATCTCTGTGCTCACAGGGTACCTCCCAGGCACCAGTCCCTTCCCCGACTCCCACCTGACCATAGCAGTGGGGAACTGCTTTCTGTAAACTGCACGTCAGGATGATTTGTAAATGAAATTAGAAAATGTGGAACTTGTGGGGGCTGGCTTTTCCCACCCATCTTAATGCCAGGTTGCTGTGGAGTTCATTTCTTCTGATTGCTGGTGGGTTCTGTGGGTGGTGAGCCGCAGTTTGTTCAAACACTCTGCTACTGAGTATGGTTTGGGTTGTTTCCAGTTGTTGGCTGTTACCATGAGACAGTTCTGAACAGTAGTGTAGAATTTTTGTGTAAATGTAGAGTTTTCATTGTTCTGGGACAAGCTGAAATGCTAGCACATATCGCAGTCGGCAATCATTATTTACTCAGACTCTCATTTAAATGAAATGCACAAAGAAAGAAGCATTTAGACAACATGCTTAAAGAAGGTGAAGAAAAAAAATAATTTCTCATTTCTTGATCATGAAACTAACCATAGGCATGTTTTTTAGTAGGGAAATTAACCCCACAGAAGTGATACAATGTCCCTGTCCTGTTTTCCTGACCTTTACCATTCTAGTCTTGTTTTCCTAAAATCACAATTTCTAATGCCTTGTAGATTTACCAGGCCGGAGCACTTAGGGAGCAGTGCCAAGATCAAGTGCAGCGGTTGCCATAGCTACCAGGAGTCCACCAAGCAGCTCACCATGAAGAAGCTGCCCATCGTGGCCTGCTTTCACCTCAAAGTGAGTCTTCTGGGAAGCAAGCTCCGTGGCGGTCCCAGCGTGTGGTCCGCAGATAAGACCCTTACAGCTACAGCTGGCCAGTAGCACAGAGGCTGGCGGCGACATGCCCATACCTCTCCTGTCTCTGCCACTGAGAGGGCTATGATGCCAACCCAAAAAAAAAAAAAAAAAAAACAAACCCATGCTTCCTGATGAGTATAGAGTGGGAGCCACTTCCAGGAACAAGTGCCTCTGAAGGTTTTGAAGGATTTACTTCTTCCCACATCTTCCTCCTCCCCAAGTTTTCTGTTTACCTAAAGATCCTTAGCATCATGATCTAGTCCAGGATTTTGCAGGTGTTTTCTAGGAAGGTTGGATTGTAAACCTGGGAGGGTTGGGGAGCCATATACCACCTTCGTGGCATATTCTTCAGTTTAATATTCCTGTGGGTGTTTTATAAAGAGACTTCTAGCTTGATGGCTGGATTTGTGGCCCTTCACTTGCTCATAGGAGTGTCTGGTGAAAGGAGAGTAGTGCTTTCACTTTGCTACACAGGACACCAGCATATTGTCAGCACTCTGCTGAGTTCTGCTGTGAAGTTCATCTTTTGTAGCCCTGTTGTATATCATATCAAGACTTGAACCCCGTAAATGGTATTTATGTAGATTGACATTGTGCTGCATCTGTAAGCTCTAAACGTGGCCAAGAAGAAATTCAAAAATTGAAGTGAGCAACTCAGAAGCAGCCCTGGAGAGGCCACTTGACCCTGAGCTGTGGCTCAGGCTTCGTTCTGTTCTCTTACCCCTCTGTGTCTAGCGGTTTGAGCACTCGGCCAAGCTGAGGCGGAAGATCACCACGTACGTGTCTTTTCCCCTGGAACTGGACATGACACCCTTTATGGCCTCCAGGTAGGACAGCGTTGATGCCCGCCTAACCTGGGGGTGCGGAGGGTTATCCTGGACAGTCCCGACCCAGTGCCAGGTTTCTAGGAGGAGGCACACCTACCTGGTGATGTAACCCCACCTTCCAAAACCTAGTTATTTGTCCTGATCCTAACCCAGGCTACGTTTCACTGAATTGATTTTCCTTAGACAGGCAGCTCGTGCTTTGAATTTTGCTCCAGCAGTTTTTTTTTAAAAACATTTTATATATTTATTTATTTAGAGACAGGGTCTTGCTTTCTCTTCCAGGCTGGCCTCAAACAGCAATTCTCGGTGGGGCTGGGGATTTAGCTCAGCGGCACAGCGCTTGCCTGGCAAGCATGAAGTCGTGAGTTCAATTCCTGGTACCGGAAAAAAAACAAACAAACAAAAAAACACGCAGCAATTCTCCTGCCTCTGCCTCTCGGGTGCTGGGATTACATGCCTGCACCACCACACCCAGCGTCTAGTAATCTTGTATTAGCTTTTAAACATGAAATCTCATCTGGATGAGATCACTGAGAAGTCATTGTTTTAGTTGATGGGATGGATTTTGAAATACAGATAAGCATAGTTGATTTTGCAGTTGTGAATTTCATTTTTCTGTTTTTTAAATCTTTATTATCATAGAAACCATAAAATTTAACCCTCCAAGAAAGCATATCACTTACTGATGTGTTTGTTTCTATGGCAGCTGTCCACACATGTACTGGCTTGAAGCAGAAGCTTATTTCCTCATAGTTCTGGAGGCCAGAACTCTGAAGTGGTGTTGAGAGGACCCACCTTGGAGGGTCCAGGCAGAGTTCCATTCCTTACTGCTTCAGCTCCTGGTGGCACCAGGTCTTTTTGTGGCTGCACTCTGCCCTGACTGGTTTCAGGGCCACCTCTGGACTCTCTAAGAGTAGTTGTCGTTCGGTTTAGGGCCCACCCAGATAATCTAGCAAGATCTCTTCTCAACATCCCTATCTCTGCAAAGACCGTTTTGGGGTTGAGATGCAAACGTGACATTTTTAGGGGCCATATTTCAACCTGTTGTACCATCTCAAGTAAACTGATCTCTTCCTGGTGTTCTTCCCTTGGTGGCCCTGTCCCTGTGGTTCACAGGTGACTGTCTAATCTGACCATTTAAACTCCGGGTTATCAATCCAGGCCCAGGAAGTAAGTCTGCCTGCCTTTGATTTTACACGTCCAGGAAGATGTTAAATGGTTGCTAAGAGAACAGTCTCAGATCTTGCAGAGTCACTGAGATCTTAGTGTCTTCTGCTGACAGTTGCAGTGGTAAAGGTATTAAAGCTTGGAACTTCTCATTTCCAGCACAGCTCTCTGCCCTGCTTGTTTTTCCTGAAGCACTGGTAATGGAAAGAATAGCAGGAGTCTTCATTCTTTTTGAAGGTTCCAAATGGATTTAACTCACCTTCCAACTTTTGGCAGGAGGAATACATTCACCCTATGGTGTTTACAACAAAACCCCCTTCACAATGCTGCTCAGAAGCTCCTGTGGCCTACAGTCAGGGAGACAGTGAGGCCTAGAGCGGTGGCCAGTCCATGCCACTGCAGGGCTTTACTCTCCAGCCGGAGCTTCGCTTGCCTCACAAAGCGCGGGGATCATTTCTGCCTAAAAGAGTTGTTGGAAGAACAGGAGTGCGTGTAACGTGTTCCCTCACGCAGCCTCTGCATAGTGCAGTCCTTAGAGCCTTGGGTCTCTTCCGGTGGATTCTGACTTACGCTGAATTTTGTTGCTGTCTGTTACAGCAAAGAGAGCAGGATGAATGGGCAGTACCAGCAGCCCACAGACAGTCTCAATAATGACAACAAGTATGTGGGGCTTGTGTGGGTGGCTGGCTGTCCTGGGTGTGGGCGGGGGGTTGACCTCCCTTGGGGGTGACAGATAGCAGTAGCACTGGCAGCATCCCTAAGTCTCGGACACTGACCTGCTCCCGGCAGGCTCCCTCTTGCCTTGGTTGAGGCAAAGCCCCGCCCCCAGGTATCCCAGGACCCTTCACGTCAGAACTCTCCCTCCCAGTGGGAGCACATCCAGCCCTCTGGTGCGAGCAGGGTTCTGTCTGGAAACCTCTGCTTCCTTCACCATGTTTAACGTGGCCATGTTCCATCTGTGACTCTGTTGGCGTTGGTGTTGTGTAAAGGGGGGATGGATAGGACAGTGACAGTCACCTCCACCACTGGTGTTCACCACCGCTTGCACCAAGTACTGTTCAGGAGCCAGCTGGACCTGAGGGCAACTGTGAGCCAGCCCCAGCCTCCACGCCCCCGCCCCCTGCACACCGCACACCACAGCTGCTGGGTGTCGCAGCAGTCAGTTGGCAGCCCTTCCTGCTTGGGCGATGTTGATGCCCTCAGTCAGCTGTGCTCCCCCCTCCCTCCATGCCAGGTACTCCCTGTTCGCGGTTGTGAACCATCAAGGGACCTTGGAGAGCGGTCACTACACCAGCTTCATCCGGCAGCACAAAGACCAGTGGTTCAAATGTGACGATGCCATCATCACCAAGGCCAGCATCAAGGACGTGCTGGACAGCGAAGGGTGCGTCCCCGGCAGGTGCAGGGTTGGAGGGAAGCCGCAGCAGCAGCTCCACTCCTTGTATCCCCTGGGTGCAAAGCCGTGGCAGTGTGTAGCTCTGCTCAGAATGCTCACCTTAAGGTGGGAAGTAATAGACCTGTTGTAGGTAGAGCCCCACCTGAGGAGGAGGAGTGCCTGACCGGAGGTGCTCTTGTTGCCATCTTTTACCTTGGGGACCAGCGTGGTCATTGTTTGTCTTAACCATGCTGTGAACTGAGCACATCAGTTCTTTTTTAGTGCGATGCTGGGCATGCAACCCAGGGCCTCCTGCCTGGGAGTGCTCTGCCCCTGAGCCACTCCCCACCCCCTAAGCACACCAGTTCTTTATCCACTTCTCTGCTGGTTTTGTTGCTGGGACGTGGAACTGCTGCCCTGCCAGGGACTAGGGGCCTGCTCTCCTGCTCCACCTGTCACTAGACTGAGCTCTGGTGGGCAGCAGGATCTGTGCCTCCAGTAGTTCTTCAGAACTTGAAAGTTCCAAGCCAGGTCCAAAACCCCCGTCCCACCCCGTACCCTTCACCCCCAGTTGTGCCAAGAAAGACACAACTGTTGGGGGGCGTGGGGGCTGCACCTGTCTTAGTGGCCACGGTACTCAGTAGATTGCACGCCAGGGCACTGGCTGTCGTGGACAGGAGAGGGAGGGTGCACTCCAGGGTCAGGCCACAGTGACTCTGCAGGAGGGGATAGGCAGGTGGGTGGTCTCACTCAGCCGGTGAGGGACTGTCCTCGGACATGGAGAAACCAACACCATGAGCCCAGAGGCCCCGTATGTGCAGAGCCCCTCCTCACACCCTTGCCCAGTGCAGGCAGTCTCAAAACGGACTGGGAGTGGAACTGCTTTCTGCCTCCTCAGGTACCTGCTGTTCTACCACAAACAGTTCCTGGAATACGAGTAGCTTCATCTGCAGTGCGTCAGAAAAAGGAGCGTGACGAGGTGGCAAGCCTCGCGAGATGACTCCCCACCTCCCCGACTCCGTGACCCCGCCTCCCATGCCCCGTTCTCCCGGCTGGCCCCACCGCATGGGGAGCGGTGTCCGGTGGCCGCGTGCTGCAGAGCCTTGGAGGAGGTAGCTGAGGGGAAAGGAGCCAGGCCACCCTCACAGCTCTCCTGCGCTGCTCAGAACTCCGCGGGATCCAGGGATCCTCACAGCACAGGGCAGCCTCTGCCCGGTGCTTCCTTCCCACACACGGAGTTTAAGAGGCGCTCGCCGGTCAGAAATTGTGGGTCCATTGACACTGGAGACAGTGCTCAAGGATGGGACTTGCGAGCACCTCTCTCTCGGGAGGGCGCTGGTGTGTAGTGTGAGCTCCTCGCCCATTTCCTGCCGCTGTCCAGCAGCTCCAGAGCGTCCTTGCGTGGCCGCAGGCGGCTGCTCCACAGGCAGCTCGATGTCCCCCTGCATGTGGAAGTGTCAGCCTGGTGTCTCCTGGTGTCCTAGGATAGGCCTTTTCTTCTCCTCCCTTCCTCGTTCCACAGGGATGGATTTCATACATGTAATCGTAGTAAAGTGAATGATGATCAAGTTTATACTGAAGTTTAGGTGGTTTCTCCTTTATTCTCAAGAGTGAGTCTTGCTCTCCTAACTGGTGCTGTTGCTGCTGTCCCCCCTACGGCCCCCCGGCCCCTGTGCACAGCTTTTCCTTCCTGGGAACAGCATCGAAGGCCATGGACTAGCTGCAACTAAGAAGGGTCCCTTGACTGTCCTAGTCCTCGGCATTAAGAGAGTTCCTTCGCGGCTCCGTCGGCCCCCTCCCTTTTCTGTCTTCCTGGTTTTGGTCTGGTCCTGTTGCCTGTCTAGGGCTGTGTGGTGGCCGTGCATTGCCTTTGAAGCTGAGGGCCCTGTTGGGAGCCTCTGCTGCACATTGGCGGTGGTTTCAGTTGTAGTGGGAAAAAGTGACTATGATTGAGCTCATCAGCAGACCGAATTGCAGGTTCCTTGTCAGGTATCTTTGCATGAATCTTCTGATTCAAACCCAAACTTAGATCGTCCATTTCAGAGGAATGACAGCCTGGGGGACTTGGGGCAGGAGTACAGTTCTAACCTAGCTCCTTGTCTCTCTCTGTGCCTGCTTTGTGAGAGCCGTCTAGACTGTGGGGTGTTCACCCTGCAGGAGCGGGGCAAGCTACAGCCCTGCTGCAGTGCTGCTCCTGGGGCCAGGGTGCACGTCACGCAGGCTGTGTGGGCTGCACCTTCCCTGGTGCAGGCTGTGCTCCCAGCGAGCTCGGCTGTGTGCCAGTCCTTCACTCGTGGACCATGAAATTTGAGTTATGTGCAGTTTTCAGGCGTTAAGAATCCCCCCCCCCCCGGGACTGGGAATCAAACTCACGACCTTGTGCTTGCCAGGTAGGCGCTGTGCCGCTGAGCTAGATCCCCAGCCCCAAGAAATTTTTCACTTTTTGATGAACTATCTGAAAACAAAGACCCCTTAGCTGAGCTGCCACACAAAAGGCAGGCAGGGGACCAGTCTAGCCCAGTGCTGGGTGGTGTGGGGTGGGACAGTGAACACAAGCACCAGTCAGGAAGTGAGCAGGTTGCAGAGTAGCCGTGGTGGTGCAGTGTGTAAGCTCTTGCCCAGTGCATTTCTCTGTTTTATTTGTGCATTTGAAGACTGCACGCTGAAGTGTGGCTTAGACTAGGCATCTGCAGGGAAATGTGGACGGGCCCACTTTTCCAGGCCTGGTCCCGTGCTGCCAGGTTCTGCATGGCTGTGTGACTGTGCTGTGGCACTCTCTCGGGAGAAGTTGTGTCTCAAGCGGAAAAGTCTGTTGGGAAGAGACGTAGCTGAGTTGTCCTGTGAGAGTCTGAGCCGTGAAGCCCTTCGGCGCCTGTGCTGCCTGGCCTCACTGCTTGTCCGGGGACGGGTGTGACACGCAGGTGTGCGACCAGGCCGCTGCCTGACCCCGCCCCCCACCCGCCTCTGCTTGTGTACAGTGGCATTGTTGATCCCAGAACATTAGAAACAGAAAGAGCCGCGTGGGTTTTTATAGGCGTTATTTTAAACTTTTCTACCTGGTGTCCCCTCCTCTTGTGTGGCTTGGCACTCTGGGCCAGAGGCTCAGAGTGTCGCATTCCTGCCTGGCCTTGCCCCCCGCCAGGCCCTCAGTGCGAGGCCCCCGTGTGATGTGCCCATGTGCACTTGCTGTGTACACGACAGGTGTGGGCGTCTCTCCTAGCTCACTCTGGCCCCTGAGTGGGAAAATGCTCTTCCTGTTTGCTCGGCCACCCTGTGTAGGTGTTCAGGGTGGCCCAGAGGGACTCACCCTGCTGCTCGTTCCTGCCGGAAGGTTTTGAGCAGCTGTACTTCTGAGATTCTGTTGTCATCTCAGCTTCCTCCTGGAGCGGTGGACTTGTACAAAGCAGACATTTGAGGGACGCCGCAGCACATGAAGCACCAGGAGCGGAGGGTGGCCCAAGACAGACAGACACCTCCCTCCACACCCCGGGCCCCTCCCAGCATCACCCCATGCTGTGTACCTGATTGCTGTCCTACCTTGGCTTGGTGTGTTTGCTTTCCTTGTGTAAAGTTGCTGTTCTTTTGACAATTCAAGTGACTTGTTTCATTTACTATAGCTGAAAACATTGTAAGAAAAAATTTCAATGATCGTGCTGTGGTTTCAGATTTTATTACCAAGATGTTTACACCCTCTTCCTCCCTGTCACTCTGAGGGCCTGTTCGGCCCTCTCTGCCCCATGGCTTGTAGTTTCCTATGCCATAATAAAGCTACATTTTATTCTGAAGACTGGCTGGCGCTTCCCTTCCTAACACAGGCTGTCGGAGGTGGGGTAGCAGGGTGCAAGCCGTGGAGAGTGCCCAGCCCCACTGGGTTAGCAGGGCATTCGTCGCAGGCTCCTCTGGATGCTAGGAGGTCTCTGCACCTCCCCTCCTGGGATTGCCTGCTGCCCTTGTCTGTCCTTTTTGGGCAGGAGGATGACACAGGGTTTGGGACAGTCATGAGCCTTCAGACTTGGGCTGTGCGAGCCCCTGAGGGCCTTTCAGAGGTGGAGGGGCTGTCCGGTCACTCGGCAGCCCGGCTGTGGCAGTGCGCTGTGTATGGGTAGTGAGCTTCTGCATGGTGATAAGTGGCATCGCCGGGTGGGTGCAGCGCTCGGGCTGCTTGGGGCTGTAGTGGACCCTGCTGTCCCTCCGCCACCCCCATGCTTTCCTTACCCTCAGGTTGTCTGTCAGCCTGCTTATCTGGTTGGCTCAGAGCTTCACCTCAGAAGGGAAGGGAGATCGGAATCATCTGTCCCTCCTGCTCTCGATGCCTGTGAGGCAAACCTCTGTGGTACGTTTTCTTCCCTTCCTGGTTCTAAGAAGCACCAGGGGTCCCCCACCCCGCGTCTCCACTGTGCAGCAGTCTTCTGGTGACAGGTCAAGAACAGTAGTCTGTCACCGAGTTCCTAGTGCCGCCCCCCACAGTGCCAGGCGGGCGACCTGCCGTGGAGCCGCACTCCAGCCCTCCGCACACCGTGCAGGAGCCGACTGCACGTCCCATTTGGGTTCTCAGACCATGTGCCGGCTTGGGGGCTCCAGCACCAAGCAGTGGTTTCTCACTTGACCGTGAAGTCCTCAGTGAGACAACCCCACGACCTCAGTGTGGCAGCGCTGTGCTCGAATTGACGGCGCAGGCGGTGGAGGATGAAGTGAAGACAGCACAGGAAGCTGGGGTGAGCTGAAGGCTCCTTTCCAGAAGGGAGAACTGCGCAACGACTGCAGCGTGTTCATGTCTGCCCTCGGCGGGTTGACGCCAGGGAAACCCTCTGCCTAACAACTAGCTCGCCTCTCTCGCCCACCCGTGTGCCCGTGGTCTTGGGCTGGAGCACCCGTTCACCTTGGGTGCCGTGTTCCTGGCTCCGCACTTGTGTATTGCTCAGCCGCCCCGGCAGGGCAGCTTTCCTTAAGTCCCATCACTTGGCAGGGTGTCCTGCAGACAGGCTTATAGCTGCACATCCCCTGTTGTGAATCAGGGGCCCTGGCTAGAGGGCAGTGCTGGTGGGATGCCAAGGGCAGGGCACAAAAAGCCATACCTGGGACACAACTTTATTCTGGCAGAGACAAACCTCTGCCTGTGTTGGAACAGGTGCAGTGTCACCACGCTGCCAGCAGGTGGCCCCTTGCCTGCTGGGAAATGATGCCAACCGACTTCGGGTGGAGTCCATTAGCAGGTCGGGGAAGTTGGCAGTAGTGCCGGCCTTGTGGGCCTTGGTGAGGACAGATGTATGGTACTGAGCCTGCGTAGCCTCTGTTCTAAAGACCACTTCCTCATGGACTCTGACCAAGCAGAGCTTGGGGAAGAGGCTGCCACACCCCCAGCTGTGCCGTTGTGTCCGCCTGAATGTTGACGGTGTGCTCTATACTGAACCTCGGTTCTGCTGAAGAGGACAGGCGGAACGTGGACACAGGCGTCTCTGCAGTCTGCCTATTTTGAGACATCTGTCCCACCAAGATCTGTCACTCATCTTCCAATCCTGTTCCTTCCAAGCCCTTGCTCATCAGCCGGGTAGTTTGCAGCTCCCTGCGTGTGGCTCCAGGTCAGGCTTTGACCTCATCATTCCAGAGGTGGGTAACAGCCCTGCTGCTCTAAATTCCATGCCCTGGGAGGTAGCCCTCTGTCGGCGTCTTTCAGGACCATCCCCATTTGGATTCCCCCATTTTCCCCTCTGTCCTCACTGAAAATCAGTGCCTTGACAGTTCCATGACCAGCAAGTGCTGGTTTTTGCTAGCAGGCTTGAGCCCTTAAACCCTGATGTGGATTCTACGCCATGCCACATACCTAGGTAGACATCCCTGATGCTGCTTTGTCCGTCACAAGGGTAAGCTGCAGCCCATTCTGTGAATTTCCCTAATACAGTTTCAAGGGATCAGCTTGTTGTTAGGGGCTTGTTTCTTTGGAACCCTAACCCACCCCTTCTGGGGACGGTTTGGAGCACTTCCCGTGGGAACTGCCCTGCTGCTGCTTTGGGGACTTGCTATGGTTAGGATCTGAGTTGGCCCCCAAAAGGCTCATTATGCTGAAGACTTGGCTGCCAGCTGATGGGCTTTTGTGGGAGTGACTGCATCATGAGGGTTCTCGCTTCATCGTTGGATCTGTTGACTTTGATGTCATTATTGGTAGGTAATGAAAATTGAGGATGGAGAGCCTAGTTGAAGGGGAGGGATGGGGGGGTGACCTTGGAGGTACTAGTCTGACCCCCATCCCTGCCTTTCCAGCTCTCCCCAGCTCTGCTTCCTGGCTCCCTTGAGGTGAGCAGTGCCTGGCGTACTGTTCCTCGCCCTTTACAGGCCAGAAGCGGCAGACCAAGCGAGCTGCACCGAAGCCATGGGCCCCAGTCACCCTCCTTAAGGTGTTTATGTCAGACTTTGTCCCAGGGTTGGGAAGCTGACTCCACAGGTGACTGCCAGTTACAGATCAGCTGGGTGCACAGCCAGGACATGCCCTGCTGCAGTCCACTCGGGGCAGCAGCAGTACCAGGGAGATGGTTCTGGAAAGCAGACTTGCTTTCCTCGGTCATCTGGTCACAGGGTTCACTTGAGGCAACGTCCATGGGGAGACAGGAGCCCCCCCACTCCCGCAGCTTCTGCTCCTGGACATGCCGAGCTCCCCTCTCTCCCCGTCGTTCCCGGCAGGTGGTAGATGGCTGCTGTAGGCATGAGGTTGAGTGGGTCAGGTGCCCGTTAGAGATGCTCAGGCTGTGTGCTCATCTGACATCCCATGACTAAGTGTTTAGTCCCTGTAAGTCCCCAGGAGCCCAGGACACGTTGGTCAGGGAGGACACTGTTTCCTCCCTGGGTTTGCCTACATTCCCATGCCCACGAGGGAGTCATGCTCTACATTTTCCATGGTAAGACATTTATCCCCTTGAAATCTTGCCACATAACTCCAGTGTGTGTGAGCTCATGAAAGTTTAGGGCAGTATTTTTCAGGCAACAGATGAAGCCTAGTGAATAATACAGACTACTTAAAGCCCCCTTGCCCCCCCAACACCCACATTTGTCTCGAACGGAAAGCATTTGATGCAGCGGGAAGAGGAATCCCCAGGAGACAAGAGGTGGCCCTGCTGGGGGCTCCGGTATCGCTGGGTGTGTTCCGGGCCTGGGATTCCCCTATCTGTGAAATGTGAAGGTGGGAAGGCTACCAGAGATAGCCAGAAAGTTCCCCCAACTTCCGTCCCCGGTGCCACCAAGTTATGAGCGGGTTGGAATGCCAGTAAGTCGGAGGGTCAGGGCCCATATCTGCTGCTGTGGCTGAGTACCACAGTGAGCACTGAGGGGCCTTCAGGCTGTGTCTGTGGTAGCTGACGTCCCGTGGTGAGGCACAGCCAGCTTGCGGGAGCACACACTCCTGAAGCAGTCACTCCTGTGAGCACCCACTAACCCTCCAGCCCGAGGGGGCTGCCCCTCCCTGAGGGCAGAGCCTGCAAGCCAGGTCGCCTCCAGGTCATCTCCCAAGGGCCGGCCTCTGCACACCACTGCGGGGCGGCATTCCAGCCAGGAGCTTCTGGGGCACATTCAGGTCACAGCGGGGAGGGAGACAAGGTAAATAAGCTGTATTTTTGTAGAATGCTAAACTAAAAGTTCTAAGAAAGGAGAAAAGGTTCAACCCAGTCCGACTCCTGAATTCCTTTATTAAACAAGTGATGGGTTTCTCCCCTCATTATAATTCCTTTAGAGCCGCTGTGGCGCCGCCCACTGTAGGCCATGTGCCATGGTGCTGACTAGTATGGCCCCAAGCCAATATGGCACTGGCCACTAGAGGCCATGTGCTAAGCCCCACCCTTCTTCCTCTGAGTCAAATTACAACCTCCTACTCTCCTTTTTGTAGTATCTTGTTTCATTTTCCCACAATTCCACCCAATCCCAGTCTGCTATGTAAGGCCGTCCTCCCCCTAAACCCCGCCTCCAGCCTGGCACTATATAATCATTGCTCTCCCAGGGGGGCCTTCAGAAGCTGCACGTCCCCCCACCTTTTTCTGCTGTGGTCTTCTCCTTGTCCGCAATAAAGGCATTTTATTCTGTTTTTATCTCTTTCTGTGCTGGAAAAGCTATCAAACAGTTTCACAGCAGGCATGTTCCAGCCCTTGAGGCATTAGAAGAGCCGCGGCCTGTCCTCAGGGTGAATGCAGTCCACAGGGAGCAGACGTCAGCCCTAAGTGCTGCATAGGGAAAGGGCAGGTGAGGGGCGGGAGTGAGGGCAGAGCTCTGTGTGCAGAGGAGGTCAGAGAAGCTTCTCCAATGCGTAGGCCTAAGAATGGAGAGCAATGAATGCTAGACCGTGGCGCTCTTAGGCTAGAACATTCCAGGCAGGAGACACACCTTGTCCTGAAGATGGCAGACCAAGGCTAAGACGACGCCCTGGGGAGTTCAGTCCATTTGTGAGTGGACTCTGAGGTGGAGGTCAGCAGCTTGCAGAGGGACGACGACGACGACGACACCTCTGAGGTCACAGCTGGGTGTTGACTCCTCCTAGCCTGTATCCAGAATCAATTGTGCTTTCTAAGCCAGCAAGTCCAGGAGGGTTGTCCGGCCCTGCCAGGTAGTGCCCTAAACACTCCATGTTAAAACAGAACTTGCAGCTTCTCTAATACTTTAAAGTTGACTTTAACCCCCCCAGTGTGGCCCATGACTAAGCACAGGACCTGGAGCCAGAGTGCCAGTCTGTCTGGGTGTGTGTGCAGGAGGCTGTGTAAACTCCTGCAGGCTCAGTGTCTTCTCTGTAAAATGGGAGAAGTAAACACCACCGAAGCCTACATGGGTCAGCGTGCACAGAAACTCCTGGGAACTGCAGCTCAGTGTCCTAATCCATGTCCTGTTATGAGTAACACAAGACAGTGAGCTGGGTAAGGGTTAAAGTAAAGAGGTTTATTTATCTGACAGTTTTAGAGGCTCCAGGGCTCAAATCCAGGCATTTTGATGGCAGAATCCTAAGTTGTCACATGGCAAAAAGGAAGCATGTTGTCTCTTCTGGCCTTTCCCTCTTCTTCTTTTTTTTTTTTTTTGTCTTTTTGAGACAGGGTCTCGCTATGCAGTTCAGGCTGGCCTTGAGCTCACTTTGCAGCATAGGCTGGCCTCGAACTTGCAATGATCCTCGTGCCTCAGCCTCCCGAGTGCTGGGATTACAGGCGTGTGCCACCACACCCAGCTTCCCTCTTCTTAAAAATCACCAGGCTCCACCCTGCTGCCCTGTCCCATCCTAACATCTCCCCAAAGGCTGCCTCTAAACACACAGTTGGATCAAGTTTCCATCCTTATGATACCTTCCCGTGGGGACCAGATTTCAACATGAGGCCTTGGGAGACATACAAAAGCCACATCCAAACCACAGCACAAAGGGAGTCACACCCATCGCAGATCTCCACAGATGTCTGGGCCCTTATACTGGGAACAGAATGGGGAGGCACAGGGAGCATCCCTTGAGCACAGGTCTGCGACAGGAGCAGCCACCATGGTAGGAAACGAACAAAACTCAACCATGTTCTTCCTTATAAATAAGGCAAAGCTCCTGGGTAAAGGACAGCGAGCCTCGTTGGCCTCACTGGATAGGCAAAGACCCACTGAGGCTGGTGGGAAAGAAAAGAAAATACACTCTACTGAGATGAGAGGCAGGAGGCTGCTCCAGTTCATCAGAGGCTACTTCTGGGGAAGAAGGATTCATGGAAAAACTAATTTCTGGGCCCTTCGAGGGCTGCCTCAGACTGAGACTGGAACAGGACAACAGGCAGTACCCTGCCCCCATGCCAGGTGACAACACTCTCTACCTGGAGAGTCAGGAATGGGGAGAAGACCCTCTGTGGCAGAGGCCCGTGGGTAAGGCATGACGTCATGATGCTGGTTGTCACCTAAGAGCACAGTGGCATGAAGTGAGTCTGAAGCCAGTAGGGCACTGAAAGTGAGCACAGGGACAGCAAGTCCAAATCCAGCTCAGGTCATAGCCAGGCTGACGCAGGCCCTCACACCAGTGGGCTGCTGGGAGAGACGTGTTTACTTCCAGGAGCAAATACGGCTTCAATCTGTGCTGCTCCACACACGTCCATCATCCAGTCAAAAGTGGTAAGATACAAAAAAGCAAGTAAAAACAATTCTCTGTCAGGAGACAAATCAATCAACCGAATGAGACTCTGGGATGCCACGTGCATGAGCAGAAGGGGGATTTCAGCAGAGATGGAAACTGCAGAAGAGTTAAACAGAAATGCAAGAAGGAAGCCGAGGAGAAGAGGAAGAGGAAGGAGGAGGAGGAGAAACATGGTGAGAGAAAGCACATAATAATTGTTTCTTTGGTGTTCTTTTTTTTTTTTTTTTTT